TTCTGATTGGCCCAAAGGGGGCGTGCGGCCCGCGGGGGCCCCGGACGGGTCCTAAGCCCGGGTCTATCTACGAGCCGCAGGTTGCAATTGGCACGTTTTCCCAGGCTCCAGGGAAGTCCCGCCTCCCTCAAAAATGGGGTGCCCCGCCCACTCACGGCACACTGTGATTGGTGGGTGGGGATGCACGCACCGCCCCTGCTTGGCTAGCACGCTCCTGATTGGACAAACGGCTGGCCGGGCGTGAAGTGATTGGTTGGGCTTGGGAGGCTTGAGTCCTGATTGGCCGGCAGGCTGACAGAGCCCCGTCACCCTGCTCAGGACGGTGGGCGCGCTGGGCGTGCTGACGGGCGCGCAGATCTTCTCGCTGCAGAAGGAGGAGTTCCGGGCGGTGAGCCCCGAGGAGGGGGCCCGCGTGTACAGCCAGGTGACGGTGCAGCGCGCGCTGCTGCAGGTGAGCCGGCCCGGCCCGGCCCGCGGGGGAGGGCGCCCGGGCTCGGACGCGCGTCCTGATTTCCGCTCTGCCCTCCAGGACCGAGAGACGGTGTCGGAGCTGGAGGCGGTGATGGAAAAGCAAAAGAAGAAGGTGGAAGGCGAGGCGGAAACACAGGTCATTTGACCCTGCACCCTCCGGTGGAAGTGTCCAGGCAGCGGGTTTCCCCGCACCCCGTGGGAGCACGGACTCTGCAGACACCCCCCAAGGGCAGTAGACCCCTCGAAGGGTCGCGGACCCTGTCTGGCCTTGGTCTTCCCCCATCCCGGTGGATGAAATGGACCATCCTTGCTGGACTGTCAAGCGGGGCCTGGCTGGACTGGGGGGGGGGACGGGACAACATATGGACCCTGCTGTGGCGCACCCCGGAGAGGGCATGCTCGGGAGCCCTGCTCACTGCCGTGCTGCAGTGTATAAACAGCCTCCTCTTAACAGGCCTTGTCAACTAATGTCCCTTCTCTACCCGGCTACCAGGGGGCTCAGGAACCTGCCCCTCACCCGTTTTAGCTTCATAGGAGGAATCTAGGAGAGGTCCCCACTTTCTTTGGTTTCTTTCTCTGAACCCTCCTCTCCTTACCCAGAGCCCTGACCCAGGCTTCCTCCTGACCTCCAGCCCTCCAGTTCAGTCCAGAGGGATCTTCCTAACACCCAATACCCCAGCCCGCCCCTTGCTCAGAACCCTCCTCCGGGTCCCCATAGCCCTCAGCCCCACTGGCATTTGAGGCCCCGAGGGTTTGGTCCCCACACACCTCTTCAGCCTCATCTTACTGCCCTTCTTCCATGCATTCTGGTCCTTCCCTTCGCCAAACACTCCCCAAACCTCAATACCACACACACACACACACACACACACACACGCACGCACGCCTCCCTCCCCCTGCCAAACACTCCCCAAACCTCTTCAACCACACACACACACACACACACACACACACACACGCCTCCCTCCCCCTGCCTTTTCCCCATAGCAGATACATTCATTTTTACTGCTGGGTGCCTCATGCCTCTCCTCCTAAGATGTTCAAGATCTTCCCCTTTTCATTCACTACCTTATCGGCAACAGGAAGGACGGCCTGGCATGTAGATTATGACCAAGAATGAATGAATGCCCCACCCTGGAAGAAGATGGCTCCCACTCAGCTCCAGCCCACTGTTACTTGCAAGACTAAAGAGCTCACACTGTCTGCCACAGCTTCCTATTTTTTAGAGAAATCAAACTCCAGATTTTACTATGTGAATTACTCAAATGTTAAATGTTGGCAACTGACTGTTTCAAAAGCAGTGATGACAAGACCCCAGCTCCCCAACTCAACACTCACGTCCACCTTGCTGGTGACCATGGCAGCCCTGGCCTGGGCCTCCGCTCCACCTGACTCTTCCTGCAGCCCCTCACCAGCTGGGAGCAGGCACACCCCCTCCCTGGGCACCCCACCTGCACGATCCCGTGGTGTGGTCACTGATATGCACAGCCGGGCACAGAGGTGGCGCCCCGCCTCCAGCAGGGGACAAGGTCACTGAGTGGCAACATCACGACTTTTATTTGTGGTGCCTGTGCTATGTCTCGAAAATACCTTCTCCCCCTGCCCCAGACAGTGTCGGGGAGGGGGCAGCAAAAAATAGAAGACGTCCCTCCCTATTGCACACGGACCCTATATACAGGCCCACCCGGCTGAGGCCGGTGGGACACTTGGCACATTCTCGGATCCCTGTTCAGGAGCGGGAGGGGTGACTGGGTGGCATCACACGTGAGAGGGGACCTCCGGGCGGCCACTCTGGTCCTGGCTACTGGTCCTGGCCTTTCCTGGTCCTCAGTTCCTTCCTGGTCCCACCTGCAGCCCTGGTCCCCCTACCTGGCTCAGCCTCCCCCTCCATCCTGGCCCCAGACGGCCCCCTTGGCTCCTGGGGACTCTGCCCTCCCCTCTCAGTCTAGAGGTCCCGAGGGGAGGTTATGGCTTCTCAGAGACTCCCCGGCAGCCCTGTCACTCGTGTTCACACAGGGGAAGGGTGCATGTGGCAGAAGCAGCTGTATAAATGCGGGTGCAGGCACATCCCCCGAGTCACTTGGAGAGCTTGCTGATGACGCGGATCAGGGCCGCGTTCTCATCTTTGAGGCGCTGGTTGTCGGCCCGGAGGTCGGACAGGCCCTGTGGGATGGGGCAGGTTAGCTGGTGGCACCAGGGAGGCTGCGCCCATGGCCCACACGCCCCATGAGTTCACCTTCAGCTCCTCTTCCAGCTCAGCGGCCTTTCGCTCCAGGGCCCTGCGCTCCTGCAATAAACAGAAGGGTGAGGGCAAGGGACTGGGGGCTGGGAAGGACCAGAGGGTGAGTAAGGCTTGAGAGTGGTGGGGAAAGGTCAAAGGGCTGGGTCAGAAGGTCAATGTGACCCCTCCGTGCAGACCTCCATAGGCTTGTAAGGCCGGAGACAGGTCCTGACCCACCCCAGCTGCCCCACTCACGAATCTCTCCAACTCCAGGAGGGCTGGCCTCTCTGCAAAGCGCTCCTGCCTCTGGTGGGGACACAGAGAGAGCAGGAGTCAGAGACGTCAAACCGCAATGGCCGGGGCTGGGAACCAGCAGTGGGAGAGGGAAGGCAGCCCAGGAATCTGGCTGGACCGCGCGGTGCAGCCCACAGCTCATCCACAAGCCCCGCCCCCTTGTGGACCAGGTCCCGCCCTCAGGCCCGCCCCCTGAAGGCGCTGCTCAGCTCAGACACACCCTCAGGGCTCCAGCTCCCGGACGCACAGGTCCCAGGCCCCGCACAGGGATGCCTGGGCCACCTGCGGGGCCTCGGCGCCCTCACCTGCGTGGCGCGCTCCAGCTCCACCTTGAGCTGCGCCAGCCGCAGCGTGGTCTCGGTTAGGGCCTCACGAAGTCTCTCGTTCTCGACGCGCAGCTCGGCGTAGAGCTGGGGACACCAGGAAGGGGCACTTGGGGTCAGGCCCGAGCTGCGGCCCGTCCGCAGGCGGGGCCCGCCGGGCACAGCCGAGGCCCCGTGAGGCAGGGCGGACCTGCGGGGACTCGGC